AGACTTAGCAGGAAAACAGTTGCATGTGTTTAGTTGTAAGCTCTTTGGAACCAGGTTTTTGTGGGTTACAGTTGCCTATATTTACAAAAACAATTTCTTTCCCCAGTTTTCAAAAGTTGTGCCAGATGCAAAGTGTGCTTTTGATACATCTGACCATCTTCAACAAGGTGAAGAGACTGCCTATGTAAAAAAGGCAAAAGAAAGTGGTTTCTTGATAGAAAATTGGAAATTACAAGAAAATCTCCTCAATGAAGCAGAGCAGCTGACAGGGCTGGAGCTTCTGCACCAACAGGACATGAGTGGACATGCAGATGCCCAAAGAACTCAGTGTCCACAAAAGGATTCTGCAAGAAGTGGTCCACCAAGAGGAAGAAGAAGAAGCAGCAGCGCCTTGCGTTTTCTTCCCATTGGAAACTGTCTTCCATTTTGTTCTTGTAATGTGGAAGAAATCTTCACTGCTCCTCATCTAGAAAATAAGAGTGCTAACAGTGGTGGAAAGAGAGTGAGGCGCAGCATGAGACTACATAAAGGTGCAGAAATTGAAGGACTTGCATGGATTCAAGTACCCAGTGAGATCCAGAAGAACCCTCCCCTGGTAGCTTCTGCTTGCAAAACCAGGAGAAGGACGATAAGCACATCCACCTTTACAGAATCTGAGAACCTTCACCATAAAGGACAAAATCTTCTCCAGTTTTCAGCACCAGGGAAGAACAATGACTCTGTTAATCTTGCTGATGGGCCTTCCAAAAGATGGAGGAGGAAGAGCATGTGTGAACTCACAGCTCAAGAAACAAGAACTTACTCTCCAACCAGGAGAAGGAGCAGAAGACATTCTGTATACAGGAAGGACAGAAGTAACCAGAATCATTATGATGAAATAGAAATACCTCTTGAAAATAACTCTAACATTTAGTGAGGTTTCATCTGATTGTCTAAAGTGAAGGTCAGTATTAGACTCATGTTCTCTCTCTTAAATGCTGTTTTCTTCTCTCTCCCACTTATGTTTCCTTACTTACTATTTCTTTCTTAATTTTTCTGAACAACTTAGAAGTGATTTTCCTTGTCTTGATGCCTGCAATGCTTGAAGATCATAACTGTGTGGAAGACCTAGTTTGGCTGAGAGCATTGCTCCGGTAGACAGTCATGGCACATAATCGGGAGGATAAACTTTTATCATGAACTGAATTTGATGTCACCTCTTTCCTACAGTCTCCATCCTTGCTTACATGTTCTCAGACTTTGTGCTCTCTACAGGTCAATAGCAATGAAGCACTGCTAATATTAGAAGAAAACTCAAGTAGGACAATATACAGAATTTAAATAACATTGATGTGCATTTGCACACTTGTTATTGTAGTCTGGGATTTTCTTGCTAAATCTTTACACTTGTGGTACCTGCAAAGCAGGCTGGGATTTTAGCCCTTGGAATCTGGTTGTGATGATTCAACTGGATGCGTTTAGCACACCACCTTGCTCCATTTGCTCCATTCAAACGCACAGTAAGTGTAGGAAGCTGCTAAACTGGACGTGTCAGCAAATGTGTGACTCAATAAAGAGGAATGAACTTGATAGTTCAAAAAGACAGTCTGTGGTGACAAGTTAGTTTCTAGACAGAGCTCTTTCTTTTGAAAGAACAGGATTCAAGCTGAAGCCTTTGTTATATTTTTGAAGTTGAAGTAGATAAAATGTCACTTTGTCTTTAGTAGTTATACTGGTGTAAATTGTGCCCGTCCAGCTAGAATTGCTTGAAGTGTCGATGTTTCCCATGTGCTTGAGCATTCCTTATAAATTGCTTTTGAAATCTGCATGAATTTTTTTCCAGATTTCAAAATTATCCTAAAAAGACCCCTTGAGATGCTCTGCAAATAAGAAAGAAATCACTTCTGGCTTGAAGGAGAGGAGTAGAAGGCGGGGAAGCTGTTACCATCTTCTGAAAAGACTTTGCTTTACCTTCTGGGCATGAGCAAGAGGCCCTATAAGTAAGGCTGAGGTTTGTGTTAGAATTAATGAATTCTGTTTCTGCTGTGAAGGTTGGACATTAGGAAAAAAAAAAATCTTTGCTGTATTTAAAACTAATTTAAAAAATAAATTGGTTAAGGAGAGTGAAACATTCATCATATGGTAAAGCTGTGCTCCATCTCTGGCCATGTCCAAGCTTTGGTGTGTTACTGAACCGTGCGTATCCTCCAGAAGTTGACCTGTTGTCTTGCTGTTTTCATTTTTCTAGTCTGAACAGTGTAATAAAAAGTGATGACTGTAGGTGGTCTCCTTACACATTTGCTGTTGCTTTCATTTGTCATCCTGTTGTGTTTCAGCCGTAGTGAAATACCTGTGCCAGCTTGAAGGAAATAGCTTTCCATTGCAAATGATCTCTGCTGTGACCTTGGTTTTAACATTCTTGATATGGAATAAAATACTTTATGTGCTTGGCTGCTTTTACAATGGTTAAAAGCAAACGGAGCAGTTTAATTTTTTTATGCGTGTTTTACTTTTCTCTGCAGCCATCATCAGTTTGTCCCAACACAAGAACTCCTAAAGGCAACTTGAAAGAAACTTCACTACTTAAATGATGTTTATCTTATGCCGCTTTAGAAATGTTACTGAAGTTGCTGCAGAATCATTTTGGTTGGAAAAGACTTGTAAGATCAAACCTGTTAACTGGCGCTGCCAAGTTACGACTAAACGTGTCCCTCAGTGTCACATCTAAACATCTAAACCCCCAAACCCAGTTTTCTTGATGTTTTATTTTGGGGTTTTCTCTTGTGTCTCAGTGACTGGTTTAGTCTGGGAGACAGAGGAGTGGTAGTTCCTTGGGTTGAACCGGTTGCAGTGCAGTCTGTTGCTTTACCAGGAGAGGGCAGTCTGACATGAGCTTTTATGGTTTAATATAACATGCACATAACATACTAGCTAAGGTTCAACTTTTAAAGCTCCTGGAGATAAAAGCTAATAATAGCTGCTCCTTGAAATGAAAACTAATAATAGCTGCTACTTCTAACATTTAAAAAATCAAGCCAACAACTGTGCTGCACATTGAAATGAGTTTGGAAAAGTGAAACTGCTGTACTGTATTCAGGTATGACTTTCCATACAGAAATCATGCTGGGTTCTTAAACGTGGTAGAGCACTGCAGCTGTGTGTGATGCTTGAGGGCTTAACCTGAAGTGCTGCCTGGAACATGCTTTTTCTGATATTGCTGTCCTATGCATCAGTTGCTGCAGCCCTAGAAGAGAATTCTCTCTTGAGGCTTCTTGAGTGGGAAGGCTAAGTGCACTGCAGATGTGAAGTCAAGTCAGAAAGAGAAGAGCAAGGATAAGGAGAAGAAAACAAAGCTTGGCTTTTCTTCCTGGCAGAACTTGCCAGGTTGGAAAGGGCTGTTAGGAACTAAATGTAGATGCTTGATGGCAGTTTGCATGGCTTGCATGAGGATGAAGCTGGATCCTACAGAGAAATAAAGAGGTTGCAGTGAATGGGACTTAACCTGGAGAGAACTTGAGAGGAGAGGAGTCTTGAGTTATGCAGAAGATTGTTGTAAGGGGGAGGTAATAATCTGTTCTCCATATCTGTACTGAATGGGACAAGAAATAATGTGTTTAAATTAGAAGAAAAAATGTCTCTGTTAAACATTAAGAAAAAGTTCCAGCAGCAGAGATGGTTGATCATGGGAATATATTGCCTTGGGAAGTTGTGGAATCTCCATCACTGGAGGCTTTTAAGAACAGATTAAACAAATATCTGTCAGGAATGACATATGATCCTTCCTAGGGGTAGGGATAGGGCCTGGATGGCCTCTTGAGGTCTCTTCTGGCTGTGTTTTCTGATTGCTGGAGATTAGGGTTGCAAGAGGTGATTTGGGACTTGCCTAATAGCTAAGACCTGAGGTAGAATCTGTCATGGAATAGGGACCTGGAGGACTGCTAACACTGGGGGCTGTTTAGCATGGGAAGGAACTGGGGCACTTGGGAGAGAGCTCTTCATGCAAGGCTAGCAAAATGCTCTTAGTATGTGAAACATTCAGATCTCGAGTGACTCACTGCTCTTCCTCAGAAGAGTATAGACTGCTGAAGTGGTGTAACCTACAACTTGGTGTCTTTGCTGTTATACAGGAAGTGTAGCAGCAGATTAAACAAAGCTGTTCCACTTACAGGTTTGCTTTTCTACAAGTGAGTTAACATTAACCTTTGAGCGACCAGCAACTTCACTATCCCCATTCAGTCAACAGAAGAGCTTTCTGAAGACACCTCTTGGCTGCATTGCCATATTGGGGTGTAGGAATTAAATTCAAGGTATATTGTGTGCCAGTGCAGACATGTGTTGAGATATTCCAAGTTTGGAGTCCTGCTTTTCAGCTGTCGATGTGGTTTCCACTGCTAGTCTTTGCCGCCTTCGACTTGGGTCACTGTTTTGCCTTTGTGCAGTATTGAGCTCCATGTCAGTCTGTGTGTTACAGTGGCATCTAAAAACCTGTGGTGTTGGCCAGTCTCACCTCTCTCCCTGCTCTTCTAAAGGGAGTATTTTTCCTCTCTTTAGAAGGTTGTTACAAAGCTTACTTTGTGTTTAAAAGTACTTAACTAATGTTGAGTGCTGTATTGTATAGGCTTTAAATGGCTTCAAGTAGGATAATAGCACTAAGTGTCTATTGCCCAATAATTGCATTTACCAGATTGCTGTGTAATTATCATGCTCTGACTGACAGAAAGGACAAGTGTAGCTCCTAGAAAGACTGATTATTTTGCTGCTCTGTAATTATGATGTTGTTAATAGGGAAGAGTAATTACACATCACTTGTGCTATCCTGTGAAGTGCAGGCTTCATACATTCTCAGCTGAGTTCTGAGTGTAAAGAGTATTTCACAGCTGGCATGGTCTTTGCTTAAATTTGCTTAATGTAAGTGAGGTGGAGATACAAAGAACAACAATACACACACCTGAATTCTTCAGGAAATTTTAAAGGGAAAGTGTTAGTGTGTTCCAGGAATTGTCTTATGCCAGTACTTTGTCATAATGAAGATTCACAGAAGTGGAGAGGATATGACCAAGTTTTCTCACATGGGAGTTAATGGAAGTAGTTTCCCCAACCTGACATTCATGGTAAGTGGGGGAAAGAAAATAACAAGAATTGTATGTTTTTTCTGCTTTTTTTCTTAAACGTCAGTTGTATCTAAAGCTTTACCCGGTCTTCAGCTTATTGTTTTCTACTTCCTTCTAATTGGGCCATAGAAGGGCATACTGAACCACCTAGGTGTAGCATATAAAATTCACTATTATATGTTCATTTATTCTAGCTGCTGTTTAGAAATGCACTAAAAAAATTGTGTTTTACTTTTCCACTTCTCACTCTGAATCTTTTAGCACTCTGATACTTCACTTAAACCTGAAAGGATCTTAGTGATGAACTGATTTGTGCCCAAGGAAGCAAACAGAAAAGCATTGTTAGATCCATGTACAGGGAAATGGAGAGAGGAAGGAAAAAAAAGCACCACTGAAGTATGTCGAGTGTAGCTTAAGCACACAGAGCAGGAGTGGGCAGTGAAAGAATCCTGTTTTCAAGCTGCTAACAGGTAGGTGAGCAATGGAAATCAGTCTAAACCAGTAAAGCGTACTTGGGTATTCCTTCAAACTGCACGTTTTTAAGAGGAGGAGGTAAACAGTGCAAATCAAAATGCTTTCACTTGAAACAAGGTAAGGTCTAATTTCACTGTGTCCCAGGAGGAAAGATGAAGTTGTGCCTGTGACTTACAGACAAGAAAGCTAATGTATTAGTTTTGTAATTAAGTCCTGTAAATTGTGCATAACAGAGCAATGAACTACTTTAGCCAGGCTTTGGAGAGGGAAGAAGAAAAACCTGTGCGCGCTGGGAATGAGGGCATGGAACATATTCCCTAACTCAAACCTGAAAAACCTGGTGTTAGTCTTGGGTTATTTCCAGTGACCCCTTGACTCCCATCTTCCTGCCCCCTGCACAGATTTGGAACTGGTCAGCCAGTTCTGTTTTTGGAAGGGAGAGGAGACAGATATAATGAATGGCTTTTATTGTGCAATATTTCAAAACCTTTTTGACTGCATTCGGATGGGATGGAAAATGTTCTACCCTGCACTGCAGCCAAAATAAATAAAACATATTCCCTAAACCTGGATGTGTGTTTCACTCAAACTGGCAGTAGTTAGAGCTCTACTCTGAAACAAGAATTCAGTTTGACAATTTTTAGGCCTTGTTCAGCTGAATGTAACAGCCAAAGAAAATACTTGGAAAAAATTAAATAATACACATATTTACAGCTTGCAGGTGGCATTAATTTTTTTGTGGCTCATAGTATTTAGTTTTAAGAATCCCTCTTAGTTGGGCTAGATTGGAGAGTTCAAAAAATATATATTGTCTCTTTTTTAAATTAGTTTTTTCTTTAATGAGAATAATCTCTCTGAAGGAAAATACATTTTATGGAGCTCCCTGATGGGTGATAAATAGTTGTGATTCAAGGCTTTAAAAGTTTAGGGTCTACCAAGAAACTGAAAAATGTACAAACACAAGACCCAGCAAACCAGCAGTAAAACCTCCTGACAGGAGCATGCTATGCACTGGCTTCCAGCTCCACTAAAGCTTAGTTTAAATACCCTGTTATGGTGCAGGCTTACTGCTGGTTTTAGCATTGCCAAGCAGTTGAGTGAAGTCCTTGCACTGTGTTACTGGGATACTTCACGTTGTGAAACATGTTTTATAGCCCGAAGAGCCATATTAATAATAACAATTCTTAATTTAGGCTGTGAAGGAGTAAAGCTAAATGATCAGAAGAGCCACCATGCCCAGACAGCCTTCACCCTGCAACCAAAGCTGTTATTTCTCACAATCCTAACTTGCAAGCAAAAATCCCTTTGAACAAATAATATGCAAAACTCTTAATGATTTTAAGTACATAAATGAGCCTCATTTTTTACATCATTGTGATCAAATCATTAAAGATTACAAACAGGGTCTCAAAGTCCAAAGAGAAGTTGCAGGAGTGGATAGACATCATTCCTTCAAAACCCTAATGATGTAGTGAATAAACAAGGTAGGAATCAGAAAACTGGGCTTTTTGTCCCCTCTATGATCTGGGTTGGGTTTTGTTCTGTTCTTGAATTAAATTACTCAGTTTCCTTGCTCTTTGTCTTCTATTTATTTGCCAGCATTTGTAACATCAGGGTGAAAAATACGGATCTAATATCACCATCCATTAAATCAACTGAGTTATACTGAAGACACTTTTGAAGCCCTGTTTCACTCTGTCATAAATAACCTGCCTGTGTCACACAAATGTTTGGACAAACAAATGCACTTAGCTCCATGTTCAGAAGGTCAGTAATGCTGAGTTCTGGTAGTAAATAATATTCACTAATGCAAATCTATTAGGGTTGTAAGGGAATTCACATTTGAACTGTGACTTGGATATGTTGAGTATCCTCGTGTGTGCTGTTGAGGAAAAAGTAATCGTGTGGGTACAAATACGAATGATGAATAAAAAGCTCATTTTGTTCTCCCCTCAAGAAAAAAAAAATCTTAAGTACCCGTGGTGTGTTTTGCCAGGAAAGCTCTGTAAGGTTTATATAAGAAGTAGGTAATGTACGTGTGGCTTATCTTAATTCCAAGCATTACATAATATAAGCTATGGAATATAAGCCCAAATGTTCACTTTATAATTCTCTTTTGCATCTCCTGCTGCTTGCTTCTCACAGGAGAAGAGGTCTTGTACCTCGTGGAGTTTCCCAGTGCAGAAGCACTGTGTTCCACTGCCTCGGCTTTGGAGTGTTCTGCCCTCTGCTCTGCCTCGCTTACCTTGCTTCTCTCATCCCAATGCTTCCTCCTCTTGCTCAATACCCCAGTGTCCAGCTCTTGCCAGTCACAGAAATGAAAGCTGCCTCACAGAGTGAGGATCCAAAGAGGGAAGCAGAGCAGTTGGTAGCACAGAGAATGGCTGCATATGCAAGATACTGCCAGCTAAGCAAATGAGAGCATTGCTGCCAGGAGCTTTCTCTAATGTTTGGCATAGTGCCTCTTAATAGAGCCACAAAGAGCCCCAGTCACAGCCAGATCTGTGGCGTTAAGTGCCTTGGAATTGCACCTTTGTATAAGAGTTAAAGCAAATGATAAGGCTTTAGGCAGAATTAAATATGTGGTTTCACACTGACACACAGAATAGCCAATGTCTTAAATTGGTCTTCTTTTATTAGCAAAGAAAATCTCTGCTTCTGAACATTTCTTTTTTCTCATTCCACTAAGGATCAGCAAGGGCTTGGGGCTTGGGGTGGTAGTTGAGGAAAAGCCTTAAACCAAATCCTGAACCTTTCTTTTTCCATATTTTTAGCCTGCCTTTCTTCTGCTTTCAGTATTGAATGCAGCACAACTACTATGACCGTGCCAAAAGCTGTTTAAACAATATTAAGATGTTTTCTTCAAACTTCTCCCTAGGAAGATGCTCTTTTTCAAGAGGAATGTTTTCCCTGGAGCATTACATCATGAATTGGTTCAGTTCTTGGAGTAAGAAATTGGACCAAATGGTGGAGAAGGTCTCCAGGGGAAACATACTTAGGCTGTTAAGTATTCCCACCAGAAAGCTTAGAAACCGCTTACATATTACCATTCTGTCCACATTTAGCCTTTCACCTTACTGCAGCTGAACAGAGGGGAGGGGGGGCTTCGACTTTTTTTAAGGAAACTTGAACCTCCTTTGTTTTTGTCATTACATTTCTCCCCACTCTTGTTGTATCTTGTGAACTGAGCTCTAGGAGTGGAATGTCTCATTTTTGACAGTAAAGATGAATTTGTTTTCTATGCAAACTGCTAATGAAATCTTAATTATGAAAGCTTCCTTGGAAACTCTGAATTTAGGGGATTTTTGAGGATTAAAAGGAGAAAAAACTCGGGAAGACCAGAGGATGGAGGGATTTGGGTGGATCAATGGGACAGCAGCCATATGAACAATGTCTGAGCTCTAACAGTATTGTGTTTCCTCTTGTGTGTGGACTGGTTCCCAATCAATGAAGGAGGCACTTGATAAGTTTTCTTATATCAAATTAAAATCTCGGAACAAGGAGAAGTATACTCCTTAAATTTAGTAGTGCAAATCGACAGATTGAGTTTTTTCCTTGCTCTGGTAAAAGCTGATGAGCTTGCAGTTTCACAAAGGTCCACAGTTTGTTTTGCAGGCAGACAGTTAAGGAGCTAAAAGCAAGTTGGATTTGGAAAGTTTTGAACTGTTCATCTTTAATTCACACAATTACCTTACAGGATATAAAATAAAACCAATAAAACCTAGAAGAATAACAATAAAACAATAAAACCTAGAAGAATAACTTCCTGGGCAGACATGCCCCAGGGCGGGACACTTGGTGGTTCATGAGTGGCTTGAATTGGACCATGGAGCTGAATTAGAAAGCGAGCCTCCTGTGCTACTTCTGAGTCATGTTCCCATTGTTTTTTTGGGCAAACCACATTCTACTGCCCCAGATTTGTTTGATGGGCAAAGAGAGACTTTTTGTATCTCAAATCTTTTGTTTAGCACCTTCAATCGCTCCTTAGCAAAACAAAACCAAGCAAAAGCTTAACTGAGTTTGGTTTTCTAACTCAAAGGCTATGGTACTCTGTAACCATAAAAGAAGGTTGAGCCCTACACATGCTTCCTCTATTCCTATTTGATATCTAATCTTTCTAAGAAGTGTTTTGTCCCAGGCAGACTGTTCTTAACAAGAAGGATCATGAAGCTGGTCCAGTTGCTGAGGGACTGGCACTGAAACTGGTGACTGGAAATTGGCACAGGGTTTTAAAAGACTTTTGCCAAAACCCATTAAAATTATGTAATCATATTAAACACACACTAAATACACTGTGCATATTGCTGCTACATTCAGGTTATGAAATCATTTAATAACAAAGTATGTAGTAGATATATAAGATAGTAAGAAAAGAGGGACTGTTCTGAAGCATACTGAAATCAGAGGAAATCCTGTTGGCTGCAGTGGGTTCTAGATGGGAACATCCAAGTGGTACTGTATTATTTCAGTAGGGAAAAGTGTGATTGTAAGTTCAGCACTTGGACCTGTTGTCCAGAACCAGGATGCAACCACCTCTTCAGATGTTTCATTTCTGCCACAGAACAAATGTAGCAAACTCAGTAATAGCGCAGACTTCTGACACTGGCAATTCCCAGAGCGTCTGAAGCTTCTAAGGCAGCAGACGGGCTGCTTGATCTGCAATACTTCTGCTCTCTCCAGAGTGACTGACAACTCGTGTTAGTGTTCTTCTCTGGAAACAAAGCTCAGCATAACAGCGATGAGCCTGGACCAGAACTTCTACTGGAGTTCCCTGTATACTCCATGGAAAACAGTAGTCCTGTAAAGGTTTCTACTTGGAAATTACTTGGGGGTGGAGAACTGGTGTTCTTAGGAGTTTGAGAGATTATCACCAGCAGTGAAGTTTCGATTCTACTGATGCTTCCATTTGAATTCACAAACTCACTCCAATTCAATTCTTTTGCAGCAGGCCCTTTTTTTGTCTTCACATCTCCCACATTCTGTGGCTCAGAATATACTTCTACTTAAAACCTCTGAGCTCTTACACATCTCTAGTAGAATGGCCACTTCATCTTGCTGCTGCTGCTAACAAAATGTAGAAAGATAGATTTACTTTTGCTTCCCTCCTCAGCCAGTTTTTCACTGCAGAACAAACTTCGAGAACCTGATTGCGCCAGATGATTTAGCTCTATGGCCAAATAGGCCCTGCTTGATTAAGATGGATTGTAGCTGTATTTGAAGCAATAGTAATTAAGACTCCCATGGCAAGCAAGGAAAAATAACAAATTAATCTAATAGGAGCTTATGGGGAACTCTTAAATTGAAAAGAAATCCGAAATTCCGGAACACTGGTAAAATCAGTTTATTAAAGCTCATAGAATTATTACAATCCTTTATTTTTCTTTTTTGTATTTGTGTTGAAATTTGTAGCTTTTAATTTTAAAAATACTTAAAATTGGAGCAGAAACTGAAAGCCTGATTTTTTTTGGCACAGAATAGACACTTTCAGTTAACTCCCAAGATCTCTTTAAAATGAGATGTACTACGTTAAGAGTCTATTTCTAATAGTTTTTTTACACAATACATGCAGCTGGTAATGCCTTTCTATCACAAGAATCTATCTAGATTGCATCATCTTTAGTAGTAAATAACTTCTTAAAATACACTGAAAATAAAGACTGTGAGGTCTAATAAGCAGTATGAGGTCTCTTGGTCCTGAGCTTGTGTTGCTCATGATGCTCCAGAGCTCTCTCGATATCGCACAAGTCTTTTCATAGTTTGGTGCCTCACTTTCTACGTGTGTTCAAATGAAATGAGCACCTCTTGAAGGCAGTGGAAGGTACATTTACAGTGTGCAAAAGCCTTGACATGATCACTGAACTATTAGTGCTTTTAACTATTTCTATACCAATTCTAGCTCGTTGTGCAGAGGTGAAGCATTTAATGTCTGGTGGTCAACTGCACTAATGATCCTGCTCTTCAGGTGCAGCTGACAGAAAAAACCCAAATGATTTAAGGGTGATACTACTTTGAGAAGAGAGGTGGCTTGTTCAGCTTTTTAAAGTCCTTCAGATAATGTCTTTTATATCTATGATTGATTTATTTGATATTTATGCAGTTGGCAGTGGGATTTGAAATATAACATAAGCACTTCCTGAGATGTCAGTACTCCGATGTTAGTGGTCTGAACAAGGATGTAATTCATATCTGCAGGTGCTTACTCTGGTATCAAACACTTCAATAACATCATGCTTGTGGAATCCGGCACTCCCCAGTGTCCCATTTGTATCCTGATATGCCCACGTCTTTCCTATGTGTGTTTTTCTTTCTTAAGGAGCTCTCATTTCCTTCAATAGGATATGTTTTATTTCATCCTTTTTCCTGCATTTACTCATATTAATGTCACCGCATGCACTGGTAATAGCTCGGCTTGGAAATAACCCGTATATCCCTGAAAACACTGGGCCTGAAATTCAATGCCTGGGATACTTTATTAAGAAAGAATGGATGTTTAAGTGTAGGGAGGTAATCATTCCTTTTTTGGACTCTGTTCTAGCGCGTTCAGAGGTGCATCAAGCACGCTCAGCCGCAGCCTGATGCCCTCTGCATTGTTCTGGTAGGCAGTGGTTGAGAGACCGGGCTGGAAAGTTTTCTGGGTCTTTTCTGCAGAGGGGCCATACAGTTTGAAAGTGGATGTTGCCAGATAGACGATAAAGAGACTGTAGATACCTGCAGGCTTCTCTTAAAAGAATGCCTCCAGAATGAAAAGAAGTCAGCTCATAGAATCATAGAATGGTTTGGGTTGGAAAGGACCTTAAGGTCACCAGTACCAGCCTCCTGCCGTGGGCAGGAACACCTCACACTAGACTGTTTCTCCCAAGGCTCTGTCCAGCCTGGCCTTGACCACTGCCAGGGATGGAGCCAGATGATAGTCTCTTGCAACTCCTTTCCTTTGTGCCTTCTTCCCATTTCACTCCATCTATGAAAAACGTGAGGTTAGTTTCCAACCTCTTTAAGTGATGGTGATCTCTTCATTTGCTTGCAAAGTACATTTGCGTGTTTTGTGGGGTCTGACTATAAGGTGTTGTGAGAAGTGCTAGTTAGCACTTCTCTGGAATGGCATTGTCCCTCTTCCAGTTGCTTTGGAGACACAAGTCTTAATAAGCCTCCTCTGGACAAGGCAAAAGGATCTGACATGGAAGGACTTGAGGCTTACAAAGGTTATAGAGTTGATTACCAAACACAACAGTATCAGGAGGAATCCCATTTCAGAAGCTCCAAAATGCCACAGCAAGTTCTTAGTTAGGAGGCCCCTTTGGAGCAGCTCTTTGATTAAATATACTGGAGTGTTCAGTGCATGAAATCTTTTTATTTCCTGTCATTATCTTGGTACAATCACAAGTGCCTTTTTTATTATTTTGATGGATGTGCTCATCAGCTGTAGCTTTTCCCATCCCTGGGGGAATTTGCCTGCCCTGAAAAGCTGAACTACACAATATCTAGTAGAAACTAAATTCTTTTCCCAGCTGGTAGGTAGTGCAGCACCGGTGTCTCTACTTAACGGTGCTCTACTTGGGGAAATGTGACAAGCCATAATCTGTTTGAACAACTCACTTGGGTAAGTTAGTGCTTCATTGTAAACCCTCGTAGGTGACTCAGCTGGGAGATTGCAACGAACAGGAATGCTACAGATTAAAGGGTCTTGCTTGCAACTCCAGCTACCCCTTTACAAGGCATAGGATCTGTATGAATACATCTTACTATAAAGCCAGCCTAGGTTTCATGTTTGTTTGCAGCAAGAAGTGATTTTTGGTACTAAACTTCAGCTGGTGGAGTAAGCCCACATTTGCAGTGGAAGCAGACCCAATCTTTTGTGTTGCCACAACATCTATATTGCAGTGGCAGGTAGATTTTCTTTTTTCCTGAGACATCTTTGCATTAGGCTGCATAGAAACTGGGTTGATTTAGAGAGAGAAACCTTGCTGTGTTAGGCTGACTTTGCCTGAGATTGGATGTTTTGTTCTTATGTTGTGGTTTTGATACACATTAAAGTACAAAGTGTGAATAAATGTGGGAGAAAATAAGCCCTGTAACCTCTGTTAGGATTTTGTGACTGTCATTCAATGAGCCATGTGGTGACAGAGTCAATGCAGATAAACCAGCTCTGGCTCCTACTACTTGGAATAAAGAGGACTGCTTCAGTTTGAGCTGTACAGGAGCTATGACCCAAAAGGGAATTTATATATATATAATGAAAGACAATGGTCCAATTATGCTGAAGCATATTACGGGTTGGTATGATGAGAATGCCCTTATAAGATCTGAGAAGTACAATCTAGTGTGGCTTATAAGATACTTAAAACCCCACAGATGGGGTTGGGAGAGGCATACAGTATTCATGTTCTTTCACTCTCACAGTTTATAAATAGCAAAAATGCAATTTCCTGCTTTCATTCAGGGCAGCTGCAAGTCACACTGGCCTGTGGCAAATGGCCAGTTTGACTCAGGATTAAGCCCAAGTGCCACATGCATCTTACCTGCTTCAGCCAAAGCTGTACTTGAGCAATGCTCTCTGTCTTTCTCAAATTTCCCCCTTCTTCCCATCATCACACAACTTCGGTTTTCATTTTAAACATGTTCTTCTATGATCCAGCCTAGAAAATAGGTAATTCTCTGCTACCAGCAGGTGGGGATGGGGAATACAGGGCATTAACTCTAATGGGGGAAGAAACAAAACAAAGAGGAATAAATTTCATTTCCTCTCTTCAGCAGGTGGAACAAGTCTGCCTGCCTGAGTGAAGTGTATGCTCCTGTCTTCCCCTCCACACAGCCTCTTCTTAATCGTTAGGGTTATTTCTCCTTTTAGCTGGCAGGACTTCAGTGCATCTCTCCAGAGAAGTAAGCAAATGTGATTGGTTTTGCTGTTTTGTCTTTATAGTGTTTCAAATATCCTAGAGCTTCTAATTCTGGGAGAGGGCAAGTTTCCCTTCACAATTACTCACTGAATGTGCTGAAGGGAAGCAAAGAAATAAACAAGTCTAGAAATCAAACTGCCATGGTTGCCAAGGGTGTGCACTTCCTCAGTGATGTGCTGCAGGAAAGCCACACCTCAAAACACTGAATCTCTGCAGACAAGAGCTTCTTAAAGGTTTAGCAGTTCTATGCATAGAGAAAAAGAACGTTGGGGCATGCTGGCCTGTCCCTTTCAGGGAGATTGAACACAGAGAAACGTGTAGACATGCATAGAAAACAGTAATGTAATGATTAAATTACTGTGATAAATCCAAAATATCATAAGATTAATGTTTTTTGTTCTCCCTTTCACAAAAAAATAAGGTGGTTCTAACTCCAGCTATGCTAAAATTCAGAAAACAAACTACTTCTCTTTTTTTTCCTTTCTTGTTGAATGTTGTGGCTATCCAGCCTTATGGCTGCCTTTCACAGCAGAAAAGGAATAGGCAAGCCAGAGGGAACAAGAGAGGGCAGGGGTGTGGTGACCTAATGGGTCACCTGTGGAGCAGCCTGGGCTCAGGTGCTTTTAGTTACCCTGATTGCAGCCTCCTCCTCAGTACCAGCTCAGTGGTGCTGGGCTTTGCAGGGAGCAGGTAAGTTCTTTGAGGGGTTTTTCCCCTCAAATTTCTTTTTATATTTACTTTTTCCCCATTTTTGTGATGTAATGAATGTAGTTTTGGAACTGTGACTTCAGAACTACCTTAGAGTAAATCCTGCTTTGTGTTTGGGGAACGGGACAGCGTGTTGCTTTGTGTTTGAAGAAAGCTATGTTTTGGGGTGATAATAGTTCTGCTCAGTGGGTGCTGAAAGCTCTCTATATGAGGGGGGCTCTTTGGCTTTTCATGGAATCTGTTCCTTGAAGTGATTCTCCTGAATAAATAATGCCTGAAATGAAACAACACCCCAGCCCTAATAGCAAGATTGCCCTTATCCTGCTTTGAGTCTCATTTGGCTTCACTTTGCTGCCTAGGCTTATTTCCTTCCTGGAAGGTTCTAGAGCAGCTATGAAGCTTTGCTGGCTATGTAGTGGAAAGGAAAAATTGTGGTCCAAAATGCTCTCAGATGCTGTCTGCAGACATGATAAGATGTTTCTCAAGTAGTACCTTAAGTAGTCTCTGGTGGCTTTGCTCATTGTACTCCTTGTTTAACTCCCCTTGGGTTCACAGCCTTGAGGTCCTCCCTAGATTTCAATCCAAGGTCTCATTTCACTCTGCTTGCAATTAGGACAATGGGGTATTGGGGTGTTTGGTCAGCAAAGGTCTAAGCTAAATGTGACATTGGGCTTTGAATGAATTTCAAACAGTAATTTGAGCTTTGAAGGCCTTAGAGGGCATGTTTTTGCTTCTGTGGTGTGTGTAAAACAGCAAAAGGAGAGGGCTGGGCTTTGATTTTACTATGAAAACTTGGAGAATTGGGTAAGGTTGCTTTCTTTGGATGCTGCTGGGTTTGAGTAAGCTGAACTGGGGCAACCATCTTGTCTGTCCATCCCCTCATCCCCATTTTGTGCTGCACATCACCAGCTGTAAGGGGTTTGTTAATGCAGATTGGAGGCACCTGAGTGGTGTTTTCAGGGGGAGGGCAGCGAGCAGAGACACACCTTATGGAGAACAGCTTCCACAAAAGAAGGGCCATAATTAAGCAATTGGATGTATCTGGGAAGTGGAAGGTTAAGCATTAAGCAGATCCAAAGTTACACAATTGTTACCTCTCAATACAGCCTATAAATGGTGGGTAGCATGCTCTAAAAGCTGTGGAGCTGTGTTGGTGTTTGCTCTGCCCGGGCTAATTCACCCTTCTGCCTAGTAGGTAGATTAGGCTAAGCAGAGTGGCTTGCTAGTGGGACTAAACCACTTCCTGCAACAGCAAGAACTAGAACTAGTTCAAGTGTCTCTGGGCAGTTGTTGCCTTGCGCCCTGTGGATGTGACTGCCATGACGGTGCACGTTACTTCCCCTTTCTGTTCAGCTATTTTCCCTTTCACCCTTCACATGTTTCGTTCCCGGTCTCATAATGATTTAAACACGTGCTTAACGTTATGCACTGTGCGTAACCCTATTGATGTGCATAAATCTTGTGAGAATAGGGTTTACACGTGTGCTGCAGTGAATTTAGTCAGAGTATAAACTCGAGCACATGGGTACACTTTCACAGGATCAGGGCCTCGGGTGCAGGGCAGGATGGTCTTTTACTGTGTGCCTGGACAATGCGATTTATCATAGCAGGGAGCAAAACACATCCATAAATGAGTGCAAGGTGTCTGCCAGCACAAATCCAGTTGCCTTAAAATTGCAAAGGTGGAAGTAATCTTTGAGGATGGGGAGGGGTGGAGGGGAATGAAAAGTTATTAAAAGCAGAAGAGATCTCAGGGAACCCAACTTCGTTTCATTCTGATGAAGAAGCTTTGAATACAATAGGGAAAAAGCATTGGGAGTAATTATCCAAAATGGGTGGCATAAATCCGAGCAGAAAGTAATACATCAGTTTTAAAGCTACTCATTTCAAACTGTGAGTTAGATTTATTTGACCTGCATTTGGGAGCAAATATTAATGAAAGGGCGAAGGCAGCTTATGGCTCTTTCAGTTCTTTCATTTCCCACTAGATGTCTCCGGTGTAAAAACTAATTATGAATGTTCTTGATTTAATTTGGAAAAAAAAATTGGATGAAGCTTTTTTTTTTCTTATTTCTTTTCAAGTATTGTGCTGTTGTGCAGCTTAACCCTTGATCTTTCTGCAGTAACTACTTCAGCCTCAAGTATGACAAGAGGCTGCTTAGAAACGATGCAGTTAATGGAATACTCTTTAATAAAGAGTTGTCCAAGTATTATGAGAATCAAATCTTTATTCCTAACCAATTCTTTGGCTCCCATCTTTAACATGTAACTTAGCTCCCAGCTCTGATGACACATGTTCCATAGCCTATGAAACTTCCCTGGTTTTTCACTTAGCACAGTATTGTGCTCTGTTTGAACTTGGACCTCCTTTACGAGGAAAACTTCTGGGTGAATCTCCAAAAGTGGTTTCGTTTGTCTCGCTTCCTGTTTGCTAAAATTGATGGGACTCTAAATAGATACAAGGATGCACTTATGTGGATTACAGTGCAGAGTTGGGGCTTAATCCTAGAAAAAAGCAGGATATCTGTTGCGTGCTGATGAGAAGCCATTAGAAATGCTTCTAACGCACAAAGAAGTTGTGCACAGATGCACAAAGTGGGGTAGTGCTTTAGGTAGCAGTGGTTTGGGATTGACCTGCTCATATTTCATTTAAAACAAGTTTGGTTGATTTGTCTTTCTTTATTCTTTTTAAAAGCCTGGAGCTTGCTGCTGTCTGCATGATGGTTTCACCCTGCTGCTGTCTGATGAATATCCAGCTACAGAGGACTGGGCAGTTTATGCGTGGAACAAGCCAAAAACCCATCTCTACACTTGGCCTTTTTGAGGTAAGGACCAAAATCAAAATGTCAGGCTTGGAATAAAGCATAGTTAGTTCCACTCCTGCAGATCTGCAGTTAGTTGTGTATTTGCTTTACCATTGTGCATCTGTTTTCCTAGTCCAAGTTGACAGGTTGTCAAAATCTGCGATCAGGTGTGAAATTTGTCCATTGACTTTCGCCTGTACTAATGGTTTAGATTTCTAGGAAAGGTTTTCAATGAGTGTTTTGGAAATTCACTGTTGAAACATTTCTGTTAGCTCTGATGGTGCTTTTAGTGCTGGAGTTTCATTGTCTTCGTGGCCATTATTATCTTCAGCAGCAGAAAAATTAGGTCAGTACAAGACACTTGTGGAAAACATCCTGGTTTGTATCTTCCCTGCACCATTTCGGTGTGCAGGGTATGAGCTGCTTTGATGGTGACAGCTTTGAGCAAGACCACCACAACCAACAGTTTGTTAGTGTCAGAACCAGGCTGCAGACCAGGTACTACCATGGCCCTTGCGCAGCCCAAGCAGATTGGTGACAACTCCTCAAGTGGAATTTAGGGATGTACAAATTCAACAGCTGGTTTATTGTCCTTTCCAGTCCCCTCTTACACTCGGCTGTGCTCTCCCAAGATAGACATGCCATTAAACCCAGTGTAATCACTGGCACAGCAGGTGTATTGAGAAACAGACATTGAGCAGTGTTTTAAATAAAAGGCCTGAGTAATAATAATATTAAAAAGCAAACAAAAATCCCCACTGCCAGTCACCACAAGAAAAGGTATCCACTGGGAAATGAATAATTGCCCTCTGTGGACTGCACAGCATATGCTGGCTGCATCCTGCTGCCATTTGCATTTCAAACTGTTGAAGTTAAATTATAGCATTATAAAGAAACCCACTTCAAAACCTAAAGCTTAAAGGTACAAAGGCAACAACGATCCAACCTGAAATGTCTTTATAGCTATTACATAGATGTAAGACTTGTGATGGATGGCAGAAAACAAGCGCACAAAGAGTTCTTTTACAACTCTTTTTCCCACTTAATGACAATGAAGCGTAAACAAACATTGCCAAAGAGTTGCTGACATTATTCTGATCGCTTTATTTCACTCTGCTGCTCATATTACTGGGTGCTGGGGTGCAGTTTGTTGAGAGTGAATGTTCTCTGGTCAGTTCTGTGTTCAACATCTCAAAGATCACTTCCCAGAGTGGTCAGGGAAAAGCTGCTTTTCCTGTCTAATTTCATACTCCTAAACCGAATCTCTCTGAATTTAAGCTCTATGGTATTTGTGAGCAGTTGACTTTGAATATACTGGACAAAAGATTTCAAACTTGGTATGCGTTTTTCTACTTGTGTTTGCTTGGGTTTTAAAATCTGGCTGCTTTAATGGGAATGAGGTTCCTGAAAAGTCTCTCCCTTTCATGGTTTCACTGCTGGTTAGTTATGCAAATAGGTAATGAGAAAAGGTGATTCCTTCCAATCCACCTCCAGCTTCACTCCCAAAATCAAAGGCTTCATAATTCAGTGAAGCACCTCGGCCTGTAGTAACATTCACGTGGTGTTAAGACCAATCTGATGTATCCTGCCTCTTGGCAGTGCTTAGCTTGAACTCGCATGAGCAGTGCTGGCGATAAAGCCTGTCTGAAGCACAGGCTGAGGAAGCCTGTATCTGCTTGTGAAAGGCGTAATCTCAGCTGTGTGAAGTGTGGGGAGCACAGGTTACACCATGCAAGTATGTTGGAAGCAATGGTAGCTGTGATTTCTGGGACACTCCTGTACTTTGTTAAATGTATAAATGTGTGCTTAGCAGCTTTGTTTTCAAGTGCTGTGGGGTGGTACTGATGAAATAGCACGCAGCCTGAAACACCACCAGCAGGGACCTGCCCTTCTTTTGCTTGCTTTCTTAAACTTGCACTTTCTTTCTTGCACTTTTCTTTCTTATACTAATCTTACTGGATTATATCTCAAATTGAACCCTGTTCTTCAGTCTGGCCTTTCAGAAGTAGTTGCAGGTCTCAACACTTGCACAGTGTGCTGCTGTGTGTGCATCTCACAGAATCCCTAAGCTTGACAGGAGTCTGTGGGCACTATTATAATTAGATAATAGAATAATTTCATATGCAATTGAAAGTGCTGCAGGGAAAGAAGAGGGATGTTTGGGAAAGTGGATTGTAATTACTTGAGCTGGAATTTGGCCAGGATACAGAGGTTAGTCTTGTGAAAAGTACCGAGGGACCTTCAGTGAACACAACTAGTTAGGATCTCAGTTAGACTCCTGATTTAAAAGGTGCAGCCCTCACAGCCTGGTGCCCCCATGGTGTACTCAGGCAGGACTGAACAGAGCTACCAGAAAAAGCCACAAGCAATTTTCCCTGACAAAGGTAAAAAGGAAATGGAGGTGACTGGGAATGACTTTTATTCTGCCCTAAATTGTCCTTGACATTTTCTCCAACACTTCCCACATGAAACAAACAATTGGATTCAACATGAAATTCTGTGTGTGTGGGGAAGCACCTCCCTGCTGAAGGGAGCTGGGATTTCAAGGCTAGTGGCTAATGTGATTGTATGGTCATGTAAAAGACCTCAAAAAATGGGAATTTGGCACCATTTTCAGTGGAAGATAAGCACAAACCCCGTGTCACCTACTAGAAAATCCCAGCATAAAGTTTGAGCCTTAATCAGACCGAGCAGTCCAGTAATGGTTCAGTTTTCAGTCCTGGAGAAGATGCTGGTGTCATTAAGGAAGACTCTGACTTCTCTCTGAAAAGGACCCTTCTTATTTTCATCTTTACTGCTCGTCAGAAAGATATATACTCTCCAAATAATAGCAGTTTCCTTGTGCTGGAGTTATAGTGGCTTTGTGATACAATAAACAGCACCCTGTCATAAGTCTTGTGTAAAAAATGGCCTGACATTTCTTTAAGAGTAAAGAGAAACACTACAGCAGCGATGACCTCTGCGCAAGGTCACAGATGTTTTGCATGGTGGTTCCATACTTCTACGCTAGGATATATTGCTTACTTTTCACAAAGAGTTTTCCTGAGGAATTACAGTACGTTCCAAAACGTCGGCTGAGCTCCACTCAGCCTTTCAGGGCTCATTTTTTAACTGATACTAACCAGAGTAAATATGGCAGGGTGGTGGGTCACTAACTTTTTGTTCCCCTTCCTTTCACTTGGTTTGTACTTTAAAATGAACTAGTCTGAAATGCCTAAATGTCCAAATTGGATGGAATTCTACAGAATAAAATGGAGCAGGTCTTGAGGAGGTTTGTGATTCAGCACGAGTTTGGAGAGCTGCCGAAGTGTTTGGAGATTTATCAGGACATCTGTGGCAATTGAACTGAAGATCTTGCCACAGTAGTTTACTCATTACATTTCTTATACTTCCCAGCATGTGTGAAGTCAGCTGGTGGAACTTTCTGCCACCAGCCACTGCTGAAGGGCTCGGTGGTGTGTGCAAACCCTGGGGAGAAGGTTTGAGGTTTATATCTTTATTTTTTAATGCCAGGTTGGATGGGGCTTGGAGCAAGCTGCTCTAGGGGAAGATATCCCTGCCTATGGCGGGGGATTGGAACTGGGTGAGCTCTAAGGTCCCTTTGACCCAAACCAGTCTGGGATTCTATGATCCCACGGTGGTATCAATAGAGCTGCCTGGTTTGAGAGGACTATGCCATTTGCTGCTGATAGATCCAGTTGTGCATTTGACCCCTGTGTATATATGTATTGAATGCATCATCAACGAGGAACTCGCTAGGGTCACCAAAAACCGTTTCCCTTAGGACGTTTCACATTAGTGGTCCATTCCCTTGGGATGCTGTGCAGCTGGGTTCCTACTCCTGCGTCAGCTCAGACTGAGGGTAACAGAACTTCCTGAGCTCGGGGGTAATAATGAAAACCTTGCTGATGTATCAGCTGAAAATGTTCCTGGGCACTTCAATCACATGGACAGAAGCATGCCAGGAAGCCAGTCCATCCTGGCAAAGTAGGGATTCAGCCTAATGAATGTAAGTTGAAATAGCTGTGATAATTTGCTTTTCAAACTGTCTAATCTTAGATATTAGGGTAACCCAGAATCAGTTCTGGTGTATCTTCATATGGTAAGCAGGAGCGAGCTGGCTGCTCTGTGAATATTGTGAGCTCTCTGCAGTAACACCAAGAAGTAGATCTGAGGCCAGGAGCCATTTTCAGCAGGTAGAGCCTAGGCTGCCACACAGGCAGTACCAGCTGAAAGACAAATAAGTACGGGTGAAGATTTTGATCTTATCCAGGTTACCACAGCAAGTTCATCTGAGCCATTAGCCCAGGTTTCTCCATAGAACACATTCAGCCATAGCACAGCAAGGCTATTTTCTGTCTCCAGTTCTGCAGATGGCTTCTTTAGGGTAGTTCACTTCTTCATAATGAGTCTGCATTTTAAGAGGAAAAGTGTTGGTTTGTACATACAGTAAGAAGTTCATACCCCAAACAGTTTAGCACCTCAAGAAATGTAATGAAGGGAACAGGAAGCACAAGGGATGTTGCATGATCCTAGGAAAAAAGAAATAAAGCCCAGAAAAGAACACAGTTCCATAGACTTCTGCTCTGGTGTTTCATCTGTGGGACCAGGCTTTTTCAGATGGTTTCAGCTAGTTGAAAGGCCAGGTAGCAACGGAAGGTGAATAAAACCCCAATTCTGCTGAGTAGCATGTTCTTTGGTGAATGCTGTCATTGAACCTGGTGGTATATCTGCAGAGTAAGGGCACTAAGGCAAGCAAGGATGTTCCTGTGTAAGCCATTTTGAGGCTTGATTCTGGTTCAGCAAGGAGCAATCTCTGTTCTCCGAGTCTGCCCCACTGTATGCTCAGAACTGTTTCTGATGTGCTTTGCAATCAAATAACGTAGAAGTTTTAGTTACCACGTGGGACGAGTAAAACACATAACCCAAAACTAATTTGTCACAATTTAATGGTGTGATGCCCTTCCTAGTAGGGTAGAAAATGATCATCTCCATTGCCTGGGGGCACGATATCATGCAGA